AGCAACTAGAAGGATGTGCAACTATGACATACAACTATCTACTGGGGCTTTGGGGAGAAAAAGGGGGGGAAAAAGAAGGAGGAGGATTGGCAATAGATGTTAGCTCAGGGCCGGTCTTCCTCAGCAAAAAGAGGGGGATTGGCATGGATGTTAGCTCAGGCCTGATTTTCCTCAAAAAATAAATAAATAAAATGCTCCAACCTAGAATTGGCACAAGTCACTTTTACTCACAACTCACAACTCATTGCCCAGAATTCACGGCCCCATCCAACCAGAAAGGCGTCAGGAAGTGCGATTCTATCATGTGCTTGGAAGGCAAGGGCAGAAATATTTGGAGAACATTAACGACTACAACTAATGACCTTTCTAGACAATAATCATTCAGTTCACTATCTCTCCTGCAGGAGGAATACATTCACCACACCTCCCCCAAAGGAGACAACCCAAGAACTCCATTCAGCCACAACATCAAGTTTAAATTCAAGAATCTGAGTGACGCACCATAGTTTTTATACCAGTTTCATATGTGGCTTCAAATGGAGATCTATAAACGAAAAAGACAAGCCATGTGCCCCTACACATCTAACATATAACGGTGGAATACGGACAGGATAAATGCAGTGGGGAGAAAGGGAAGAACGGAGACACAGCAGCCTAGTGATTACCATGTTCCACTGAGCAGATGTGATCAAGGCCTCTTATCCTGGGGGAAGGGAATATTCTTTGATTAGGCTCCAATTCTGCTTCACAGGAGGGCACCCTTAGGCAATTGTTCTGTTCTAAGTTACTGAGATTTCAGGGTTGTTGCTGCAGTATAACCTAACCTAATATGTCCTTGACTAATACGGAGATTGGAATCTAAAGGGGCAGTATTGCATATTTCGTGAAAAAAAAAACCCTAGTATATATGACATTAACTTACTTGGAGGGCAGCAAAAAGATCTTACTGGAGGCTGGAAGGATGGCAACCCATGTTATACAGTAGCCAGGTATTTGGTAAATCTGTTGCCTGCAGTAACTTAGAGGACATACTTTATCTAATTTATCTAAGTTAGGAGAGTCAGAACAGAATTTTAGCAGCATGAATTGGATACTGTTAGTTGCCATTGACAATGCACCACAAGAAGAGCTCAGATGAGAACTGGCCAGCTTGCAAGCAGGCATAAGGGATCTAGAGAGACTACAGAAATCAATGGGCTTGCAGGGCTCACAAAAGCAACTGCTTCTCATTTCTAATTGGTAATAGACAAAATTGAGAAATGTTTGGAATGACAAATGTCAATTCAAACTTAGCTTTGTAGGTAGGGTGACCGACCATCCTAGTTTGCCTAGGACTGTCCCAGTTTCAGCACCAAAAAAGTCCTGCATCCCAGGAAATCCCTCTGCCAAGCAAACAGGGACAGCTAGTCACCCTACTCATAGGAAAAATCAAAACAATGGTATGGTCATCACATCTGTTGTTGAAACCCGAGTAGCTAAAATTGTCTTAGAGCAAAAACCTCATTAAGGTTGTGGCACCCAGTACATCACTTCAATTAAACTAAACTGCTTGAGGAAGAGACTTAAGGTGCAGCTCTCCAATTACAAGTTCAAAATACCCCAAATTAGTCAGAGAGGCATGAGAATGATAAAATATATCAAATTTAAAAAACATGTCAAGAAAAGGATAGCTACTGGTGCACAAAACTGCCTGAAATCAGAGATAAAATGCCAGCTGTATTTTGAGAGTTCTATGCTACCAAAAGATGAGTCACATATGCCCAGTCAACCACAAAGGACCAGAGAGCCCAAAAGCTGGGAACCTGGAAATACTTGGTAAACAGCACTAATGACTACCACAGTGGAATAAATAAAAGTGATGCCCAAATCACTGGCCAAAGTGAGTGGTGGATAAACCAAGGGAAAAAAAAAAAAACTCTCCATTTTTGTGGAAAGGCCAAGCTGCTTAGGTCTGGCAAAAAGCAGAAACAATCATCTGTGAGGTATGGACATTTTACCAGCTGACCTGGAGAACAATCAGAATTGAGTAGTCATCCTACCCTGGTGGTTAAGAGGCCAGAAGAAACAAGCCAAGGCCTACTGGACTGATAGTCCTCTTTCCCTGAGACTGAGGTGAGGGGGCTGGAAGAAATCATCTTTTTCTTTAGAGATGGACAGAGTCAAGAGAGGACTGTAATAGTCTTGGCCTAGGTTCAGACAAATAGTTCACACAGGGCAGACCCAACTGCTCCTGCCTCCAAATTCTGAGGTTTATTTACCTTATATATATATATTTTTTTTGGTGAGACCCTCCTCTTTTTTCGCTGATGAAGACTGGCCCTGGGCTAACATCCGTGCCCATCTTCCTCCACTTTATATGGGATGCCACCACAGCATGGCTTGCCAACCAGTGCGTCGGTGTGCGCCCGGGATCCGAACCGGCTAACTCTGGGCTGCCACAGCGGAGCGCACGCACTTAACCGCTTGCACCACCAGGCCGGCCCCTATTTACCTTATATTTTAAACAAAGTGTTTTAAGCACTTTCCTGCTCCAAAGTTTTAAGATGTTAAACCTCAGATCTACGAATTAAGATCCTTCCCTACCACTAATTTCAAGGGCAGAAGTCAACATGACACACAGTGGAAATATATATGCAATTTTATTTCATTAGAAAAATTCACTTAAGCCACATGGTGGCCATAATGCCCTGAGCAGGCTCTGTCATCTCACTGCCTCCTTCAGACCAATATACACACATCCACACTACGTTGAAGGAAGGACTTAAAAATGTAAAACAATGAGAACTGGACATTGAATGTCTTCCCCCTCCCTACAGCCAACCCACACATCTCTTCAACTGTTATCCACGCACAGAGGAGCTCTCACGGAAGAGAAGCTGACCACCAAATAAACTGACCATAAGACACTCAAGTCCAAAGGAACTCTTGCCAGATGTTTAGGAAGTAGAGTTGAAAACAACACCATCTTCCAACAGCTGCAGTTGAGCAGAAGCCCCCCTTTTAAGAGATGTCAGAGCCAGGCTGCCAAGGACAGCAAAGCATACAGCAGACTAGGGGCAGAGGAGTGCGATCACTCCATCCCACAGCCATAGGCAACCCACTCCCACTTGTGTATTAAACAGGCTCTTTTTCCAGGTGAGGAGGCCCTTCAAGGGCCTAGTAACAGTTAGTTCTCTGATAACACTGATGCTGAGCTTGCCTGCCCAGGAACTGGGACACCTGGCTGGACGTGTTTAAGTCAGTGTTCCAAGATTATAGCCGTCGGAGAGAGGTCTTATCACACCTCTCCGGATGGATGGTCTGGAAGGCCCTTGGTGGCTGTGTGCTGGCTAGCCGACTTCTGGTGGTCCAGGAGTTCACGGGCGATGGGCTCTCCAGTAAGCCCTCCAGTGACTCCATCAGTCTAACGAAGACAGAGAGCAGGGTCAGCACCACACCTAAGAGATAAAGGTTCAATACACGCTTCATGGCTGAAAGGGTCCCACTCCTTTGTAGAGTGGTAGAGCTGTCTTCTGCTTCTGGAAGGCTTCTGGATCCTGAGGAAAGAAAGGCGAGGTTAATCTATAGCCTTTTGGGACATGCATGCATCTCGCACTGACCCTTCTGTCTTCCCATGGAGCTAAGAGAGGGCCGGCCAGTCAGGGAGACAGGCACCAGTGGGTGTTCTTCCATAGCAGAAGCTCCAAGTATATTTACAGTCTAAACTCCATGGTTGTAGAGCCAGTCTTGCTTCTTGGACTAATTCAAGACCATTCTTAAAACTTTTACTTCTCCTGCCAGGGGCAATGCACAATCCCTGTGCCACAGTCCAGGGAACAGAAACCTTCCCGAAGTAAAGACTGAGCCCTTTTGTAGAGGGGAGTGAGATATAAGAACATGCCCTTGAGAAAGCAACTTGCCTAGAAGTTTCCCTCCCATCTCAGTCAGGTTCGAGTTAATTATAAACTTTTTGAAAGTTAAAATAATTATAAGAGAGTCAAATCTATCAAGTTTACTCATTTAACAAATACACCCTGAATAGCCACAATGTGTTAGGCACTCTGTAAGGTACTAGGGCCACAGGGGGCCCTGCAGACATGAACCCTGCCCTCGTGGGGCTTACAGTCTAGGGGTGACAGGCAAGAAAACGGGCAGTTACCACACACAGAACACCTCAAGCGCTGTGATAGAAAGGAGATGCTAAGGATGCTTTGGGAGAGCATAGCATGGAGGTCTAACCCAGCACTGCTAAGCACGGGGTGAGCCACGTGGACTCTACTCAGGGCCACCTCTGGAGAAAGCAGGGCTGGGTCTGCCGAGTGGGAACGCGGGTGGGGGCGGAGCCAGGAGGGAAGCTCCAGGCGGCGCAGCCCCAGCCCGGGAACGAGGCGACCGACCCACCAGGCAGCCCAGGAGATGGGGCCGGGGAGTCGGGGAAGCCCATAGGGCCGCTCACCTCCAGCAGGAACGGCCGGGAGTGGACCGCTCGCTGTAACAGCGCGTCGTGCAGGGGTCGGGAGGAAACTCAGCTCACAAGCAGGGCGAGGTCACAACCCTCTCCGCTCAGAAGACAAAACCGCAGGCAGCACCACTACGCAGAGGAGCACCGCCCGCTTATAGTCACCAGCCCGCCCCGGAGCCCGCGCACGCGCACTGAAGCACGCAGTACTCGCCCCGACGCACGTCCGCGGCCCCGCCCCCAGGCCACGGCAGTCGGGGGTCCTTGGTAGCGCGCGGTGTGTGACGTCAGAGCTGTTTCAAAAAACTCGCCGGGTGTGGCTCTGAGTCATTGAGTTCGGCAGTGGGACTAGCGTGTGTGTTAGCTTCGGCTGCCTTTTCCTGTTGTAGGAGACTTCTGAAGGAATCAGAAAGCTCATTTCCCCCCAACCAAGTTGATGGAATACACAGCTGAGGTGCCCCAATCCAAGGGCCCTCATACTGGGCGGGATGAAGTCCGGGCAGTGGAGGGTGGGTTCTTCACCAGAGATTTCATCAAAGCACAGATTGTCCGAGGGCGTCAGACCCCCCACCCCACCCCACCCCCGCCAGTTTTCTCCATTCCAGGGACTGAAGAGCTGACTTTGTTTCACTTACTAGAAGTACTAAGATTCCAGACGTCACCCCCACCCTCCATTCCAAGTCCTGAGGTTTAATTTGCCATCGATATGTCTGGAATGGTGAGGCCCTTTTACATCACGTTAAGTTCTGCTTAAAGTGTGTCATGTTATGTAAGAAAATGTGAAATACTCATGTGGCCCTGGTATCTGCGCCTGACTACTTATGGACAACTCACTTTATACTTATCGGGCCTCAGTTTTCTTATCTAAAATGTGGCCACTAGATGATTTTTAAGGATACTTTCAGATTGAACCAAAGAGCGAAGAGATCACAGTCCAGCCTTATGCCTAGATTTAGGGGCCGGGAAGCCTTACTAAGCATCCTCTCCTTTTCCCCCAAACCAAAGAAATGTAGACGTTCTGTCCTGAGAGCACCCGGCGGATCTCAGCAATTAGAGTCCTGGGGAGACACTGGAGTGGAGAGGCCCCTGGGAAGGAACATCCACGCCGTGGAAGGGAAGGCTGTCGGTGGTTTCATTGCCTTCCTCCTGAGGAAGTGGAGGGGAGTGGGCCAAGGCTCCGGGGCAAGTGACTCTAGGCGGGTCCGCGTGACCGGGTCAAGTGCCCCTGGGCTGGATGGGCGAGAACCCGAGAGCCCCCAAGGCTCTGCGGGCTACACCAAAAAGGGACTGAACGAGCGAGAAGGGAGGAGCCAAATCCTAACTGCGACCTTTCCCCTACTTTCTGGGCTCTCTGTCTTCAGTAGTGGAGGCGGAAGCAGGGAAGCCGGGAAAGGAGAAAGTTGGGGGTGGAGACGTGCTGACAAGCAGGCAGGCACTTGGAAACGAACTTTTCTCCTCAGCCCGCGGGAATTTTTGGTCCTTCATTATAGTACTAGAGTTTCATTTGTTTTTGTGCTCTACTCAGTGACTCTTCTCGCGCCCTGTTATTAGGGAGGCTCAAGCTCTGAGTCATGCTGCCTGGTGTCCCAAACGCCACCACTTGCTAGTTGGGGGCCTCGGGCAAATCCTTTAACTTTTCTGTACTTTGATTTCCTCAGCTGTTATATGGAATAGTAATAGTGCTTACCTGGAAATTAAATGAGTTAATCTGTGTAAAGCCTGGACAACGGTGCCTGGCATATAGAAAACATAAGTGTTACATTATCTGGATCATGGACTACAAAAATTCCCAGTGAGGGACTTTGTCCCTAGTAGCCTATGTTTGGTGAGTGAACGCAGGAATTCCACAATAACCCTTTGGGCTCTGCTTATTGTGAGTTCTAAATTTTTATTTGCACACAGCTGGAAGGAAGAGATGGGCACCTCTCCAACAATCCTCCCCCCCCCATTCACTGTCATTGTCTAAAGGTCATGCTAGATGAAGATAACAGGATTTGGATGAATATAGCCCTGTGCTTTCTCATCTATCAACTACAAACCGTATTGGCCATCATCTCTGGGTAAGTACTGGCCTACCCATATGAGGGTTCTTGTCCTGTCTCCACCACCATGGCCAAGTTAATTAACCCTTAGAGCCTTAGTTTCTTAATCTGTAAAGTGGGGAAAATGATATGTAAAACACAGAGTTGTTGTGAGGATAGAAATAATGCATGTAAAGTTTGTATCACATAGTAGATGCTCAATAAATAGTAGCTATTGTTTTATTAAAAAGTTTAAAGGCAGGTTCTTGTCCTAAATAAGCTTATCACCTGGTTGGGTAACAGGACCTAAAAAAGAGAGCTAGCAACCCAAGGCACTATAGGGGTAGTGGTTAGAAATTAGTTGGACTTGAGTTTGAATCCTGCTCTGCACTTCTCCAGCTATTCTTGGGCTCTGCTTGCCTCAGTTTCTTCATTTATAAAGTGAGAGTGATAATAGTCCTTACCTACCCACTAAGATTGTTATGAAGATTAAATTAACTAATGGATGTAAAGTACCTAGTATGGATTAAGATCAAAATAAGTGGTAGTTATTAATCTAATTAGCTGCTTTTTTTTTTTTTTTTGGTGAGGAAGATCAGCCCTGAGCTAACATCCAATGCCAGTCCTCCTCTTTTTTTGCTGAGGAAGATTGGCCGTGGGCTTACATCCGTGCCCATCTTCCTCTTTATATGGGACGCCGCCCCAGCATGGCCTGATAAGCAGTGCGGCTGTGTGCACCTGGGATCTGAACCTGTGAAACCCGGGCCTCTGAAGCAGAGCGCACGCACTTAACCACTGCGCCACTGGGCCGGCCCCTAATTAGCTCCTAAGGTAAACTATGATAAATGTATGGAGTGCTTGGGAGCCCAGAAATGGAAGAAGAGAGAGAACTGGGTAGTAGAGAAATATAGAGTAAGATCATAACTAGGGTGGCAATGCTTTGCTCGGGGATATGGAATTTTAGCATTTACCATGAGTGAATGGAAGAGTGGAACAAAGTAAGCATTCACGAAGTAACTGACTTGTGCCAAGCATTTTGCTAAATGCATTACCTATATTATTTAACTTAATTCTTATAACAAACCTGTGAGGTAGGTATTATTACCTCCCTTCTTTAGTTGTTAACCACGTTTTTTCCACCAAAGGAAAAAGAGACTTGCCTTCAGCTAGTCTTTTATTCAACCTTCATGTCTCAATTCAAACAAGTTTCCCCTGGAAACCCTTTGCTGACCCTCAGACCCTTGCTACAAGCTCCAGTAGCATGATATATATTTCCCTCACTATTTGTAACCTTATCCTTAGTTGTATTAATGTCTGTTTCCCCTCAAAAGCCCAAAAACGTCAATGAGAGGAGTGTCTGGTCTGATTTTGTTTTCATTCCATTCTGGCACCTAGCACCACGTGGTAGGTTTTCAATAAATATTTGTTGATTGAAGGAATAAATGAACAAAATCATTATTTTATTGTCTTACCTAGCATCTTCAGTGAGTATCCAGTGTTCCACCAAGGAAGGGTAGATAGGGCACCAAGACAAACCCTCTTCAGTTCTACCTCTTCCTTGGCAACTGCTAACCAAGGAAAGCTCTTTATGAACTGTGCCCTTGTCCCCAAGCCACTTAAAAGAAGTGATTCCGTAGTTGGCCCACAAAGGAGTACCATACTAAGAATACAATATCTTCACCAATTTATCTTATGATCCAGGGTCCATTTAAAGAACACATCCCTACCTTGCTGGCAGGTACAAATTGGTACACTCTATGGAAATCAATTTGGCAATATCTATAAAAATAAAAGAATGCACATGCCCTTTAACCTAGAATTCCACTTCTAGGATTGGTCATTACAGAAAAACTCCTGCATGAG